CTTCTTGCTATTATCTCTACAGAAAAGTGCCAAGCGTAAGAAAATACATGCTTTTAAGTCAAAAATGCGGTTTGAGCAACTTGAAGTAACTCAAAATAAGCGGCAAAATGCTTGGCAGCAGTTCCAATCAACCAAAGGCAAGACTAAAAAGGTCAGTTGACAAACCATTTTACTTGGGAATAACTGTGGTTCAAGTTGAAGGTTTTTTTCATTGATAGCATACATATGTATAGGTTGGTGAAGTCCTGCTTTATCAATCTTCCACTGCTGTCTTTTTTCATGTTTTGCATGATGGTCAAGAATTTCAATGATGGATGGTTTTTTGTGATTGAAGGTTGGGTTTTTCTCGGGGCGCAAGCGAGAGAGCATTTTCAAGTCTCCTGACGATCCCAATGGTAAGGTTGGTGTTACTGGAAGTGGTAAGGGCTTGACCGAGTTTCAGAAGAGAGAGAAGCACTTACATCTCAAGGGAGGGAATGTTGAGATAGCTGATGATTAGATTTTAGCCCAATTGTTAGTGCTTCTTCTTGTCTCAGTGTTGCCTTGGTAGTTAACCATTCCAACTACCAAATTCTCCTTTATGTATGGAGGGAGGTATTGCGAACATTTACAGCCTAGGAAGTGTCGACCTTATAATGATACAACTAATTGAATTTTTTTTTTCTAAATTGTGCCAAAAAAATAATGCATGTGACTTGATTTTACTAACTCTTAACGGGGTAATTTTGCGTTGGATGTGTTAAAAAGTAAAATAGTAAAATGCAAGGATCAGATTTGGTGCAACTTGGCCCCAAAAATTTCCCTTTTATCAGACTCTTGCGTTTTTATCATAGAGAATGGCTCGGTAAGTCATGACTCGGAGAGTGTATTGTTTGAGAGGAATGTATTGGTTTGGGAGAATTGGAAAAGAGAAATAATTTTTTAATTAATTAAATTATAATATTAAAAAATAATACAATTTAATCGATAAAAGAATATTTCCTTCCTTTTCCGTCATTTTCGAACCAATTATATATATTTAAAATTTAAGATAGATGGAAAAAATTTAAAAACATAAACATAAAGTTAAAAACTACTCTTCCTAACTAAATAGAGAAATTGTTGCACTTGACCCTTGGGTCACCCAATAACTAGTGTTATTGAAAAAGTGCATATCCTCATCCCTGGTGGGTTTCAAATCCGTACCATAACAAAATGTTTCAAAAAAGAAAAAATAGAGAAATTGTTACCCATCCCCTGAAATCAAGCATACTTAAATTTGGGATGAGGGTTAGAATAGGGTTTGTGCACCAACTTTCAGTATCTTTGAACGAGGATGAAGTCGATTATAATTGAAATTAAAGGACTATTTTTTCTCTTTTCAAACAAATTGAAAGTTGAATACATGTCTCTGCAGCACCAGATCCTATACATGGAATGGGAAGCCATATCCAATCTCAAAATGTCATTAGCGAGGACTTAAAACCCTGTCATGAGAACTTTTGGAACATAAAACTTCCACTTTCATATTTTCTTCCATCAAACCTCGTCTTCTAGTGCATCAAATCTGGAGCAAAAACCCCAGGGCCCATCACTCATTTCGGATGGAGTAATACTTGTCCCACAGTGTTGGAGATTTTGAAATTTCACTCATTAGGTTCTTCAACTTCAAGCTGCAGTCTCCGCCGCTGCACCAAATATCAAATATGAGATAATTCAGCTCCACAAGATGATTGTACATAATCAATGTAAATGGATGGGTAGTGGTAGGAAAGACAAACCTTATCCGGTTTAAAGAAGCAATGGCACGAAGAGCACTGCGGATCATGTCTTCATTTCGGTCTACTTCTTGTTTCACAGCATCCTGCTTTGGCTTAAAATTGATTGTTTTTTGGAGAGGGTCCACCAATGAATCCAACACTGATTGATGATAATATTTAGACAAGAGGTAACAAAAAAATCGATCAAAACAGAATCTCAGTAAAAAAAAAAAAAAAGGGAAAACAACCTGGCTAGGCTATGTTACTCACCGGCTAATACAGCAGATGGACATTTATCCGCAAGTTTGGAGAGGATAAGATGACAAGGCATCTTTACATCATAATGATCTGGAAGAACCAAAAATTCTCAAATTAGAGTTTAAAAAAGTGATGCAGAACATGCTTGCCACAACACAAACTCCAAACAAATTAGGATACACTTACAACTCTTACATCACTTACACAACATCTTGACCATTCATTTCTCCACTCTGAATGGTTGAGATTTATAGCAACTTTTTAGATGAAAAAGACAATTATATTTAAAAAATGGGCGAAAAGGTGGATAAATCTCAACCATTCATAGTGAAAAGATGAATGATCAAGATTTTGCGCGATGCGTGTAAGTGGATCCTAACTCCAAACACAAAGATTAAAAAGGGAGGAAAGAGAAGGTGCAGAGAACATACTCACCATCTAGTCCAGACTTGAGGTAGGGAACAATAAAAGATGAAGGGTTAACTTGATCAAGACAACTGTCCAGTAATGTGTCTACACATTCAAAAGCTGCTTTTCTTAGCTCAAGCCCATCATCCACAACATGCTTGAAAGGACCAAGATCAACTGTTCTTATCAATTCTTGCTGCACCATGCATGGATTTAAAATGAAATCAGAACAACGTTCCACTTACCAGTAAGAAATTCAATAGATGACAATCTTGACACTAAATCATCAGGTAATATCAGCATGTGGCTCATATTTAGGTTTAATAGGTTACCTTAACAATTGTCTGATCATAAAGCAGAGGGAGCAGTTCTGGAAGAAGCCCCTTGATCAGGTTAGGCTTATTGTGAGCAAATGTACTTAAAGCCAACACAGCAGCACGCCTAACATGCTGCACCATACATCTCAACTAAATTAGTATAAGGTTGAGAACACCACAAAGGCCAAGGCCTTATACTTTATATGGGGAGACAGAAAGAAGACTTACTCGGTCATGATCCTTGATAAGCATAAGGAATGAAGAGATCTCTGGGTATATAATCTCATCTATTTTCTCTGGCCGCTCAACTATAGAATACTTTACAGCAGTAACAACAGTTGCCCTAGTGAATGCAGCTGGACTGGTTGTTCTTACCTGCAAGAAACCCAGAATATGAAACAAGAAAGATGCTCCATTAAAACCAGAAACTTAGTGAATTTAAAAGTGCCATTTGATTTGTGATAGAAGATACCTTAAGCGCGGGAATGAGTTTTACAGGTTCAATAAGTGCAATTTTACCAAGGCACTCAGCTACCACATTCCGCACACCCTCTTCCTCACTTTCACAGTGGTTGAAGAGTAAATTCAGTATCTTCTCAACACTTGATTCCTGGAATTCTGCTTTATCTACAGATTGTCTTACTATAACCTGCATGATTAAGTAAATGCAAAATTAATGAAATTATTGAATGAAAAGTGGCATCCAGTTTATAAGACCTCCACTTGAAGGAAGCACACCTCCTTAAGGGAATGAAGCAACAGATACTGTTTCTTCTGCTGATTGTCAATCTGATCCAAGATGAAAGGTAGATACTTGGACAGGTTCCCAACGGCTATATTGCCAAGGGCATAAGAAGCAGCAGACTTTATCTCTTCAAAAGGTGACTGAAAAGACTCGATGATAATAGTCTCAATATGCACATGTGAGCTCAGATCTTTCCTTCTGCCAATCTCTCCCAAACAGAGCAAGGCAAGGTGCTGCTTGGCCTACAACACAATGATTAAATAAGTAAATAAAACAGGTCTGGGAAGAACAATGATTAAATAAAGCATATGTGGCAGCATGTAAATTTTCATTGAGGGAAAAGAAGCCAACAGTTCAAGTAATGATATGAGCATTAGGTCATGAACTAGGACTGATTCCACTACTAATGCAGCACCAGAAATGATTGTATAAAATTTGGCCCAAAAGCCAAAAAATTCCTGCTAATCTGAATTATTTTGTATAATTTAAGCAACAAAGTCCAATCAATAAATGAATCCCATGAATGCAACAGAAACTTCAAGAGAGAGTTAACAAATTGACCCAGTAAACTCACTGAATTGGTTGCACTGTCATCTTTAAGGATGTCAGTAAGCATTTTAACAGTAGAAGAGCATTCCTGATCGCCAGCAGTAAGGCAGAGAACAGCCACACATTGTGCTATAGAATGAAGTGCTTGTTTTGCAACACCACCTGACTGAGGAGATGCTTTCGCACTTGATAGAAGAGACTCCAATAAAGAATCAAAACTTGTGTTGGCAGAATCCACTAAGGCAGAAAAGAATTTCCGCAAAGCCTATAACATCCAACAAAAAAGAGTTAAGAACCATATACAAATGTCACACCTGAACTAATATCAGAAGAGGATGTGGGGATACCAGTAGGGCTTGGCCCTGTAGCAAAGGGCTCTTGATTAATGTCAGTGCCTGAGGAAGAACTATATGTCGAACAGCTGAACCAATAATGGGCCTTGACCTCTTATCTGCCATCAGCGTGCAGCAAAGTTCAAGCGCAAGAGCCGTCATATGCAAGTCAGAGTCACTGACAATAAGAAAAAGCAAGAGAAATAGAGTTAAGAAAATAACAAAGCAGCTCTGACCATGCCTGACTTCTAATAAGCTTCCCAGAAAAAACAATGAAATCAGGATATAGAAACCTGATCAAAGTTGACAGCTCCACAATGATCACTTCATAAGCCGCTGGACCAATTTGATCACCATATGCAACAACCAAAGAATTTAGTGTCCCAAGTGTTGCCTGCCTTAAAGCACGATTGGCCTGTTTTCCAAGAGAAACAAAGTGAAAAGGAAGAACAATATAGGTATCACCAAGAATAAATCACTCATTCAAAACCAAGAAAAAAGTTTCCACACCTTTCGCAAGAATGCAGTCAACTCTGAAATTACATGCCCCAAAACACAAGATAGGTCTATCCGAAGTGGGGAGGCAGCAATTACAGAAAATGCCTGGAATAAAAGGCCACAAATTTTTATCAACTACAAGATATATCTATCAAAAGCATCATATGACCAAACAGCTATTAAGTAAAGAAATTGTAATTCAACCAACCTTTACAGCAGTAAGTCGGGTTATCTCATTTCCCATACGGTCAACAAGTACAGGGAGACAAGCTGGTAATTCCGCTCTAAGGTTATCACCAAATGTTGAAATGACAAGTCCCATGCAAGAAATAGCACACTCCTTAACCTCCTGGAATAGAAAGAAAAAACAAGTCAGAATCAAAGTCCATGCACTGAAATGAAGTATTATTGCATTTTTCACTAACCTGATCTTGATCTTGGTTGGTCAAACGTGACATTATGGCATCATAGATTGGATGAACAAAAGGTTTAAAATCAAAACCAGAACCCTACACAATAACATCATTAGAGTGATAAAAAAGGTCAAGCACAATGTTATAATTTAAAAAATAAAATCAAGACAAAAATCCTCACATCATTCCAGTAACCAAAAGTTGGTCAAACTAAATCTTAAAAGCTTGAGAAATAAACCAATATCACCTCAACACTTGGGCGTACAACACGAACAAGTTCCCCACATACTCTTAATGCCTCAGCTGTGACTTTGTAATAACGCTCACTAACAGCAGATAGAACAGCATTTGATAGAGCCTGCATAACATATTTCTTTTAAATTTACCAAGTAATAATTGTCGTACTGACAAGAAAAAAAAAAGTGGTTTGAGAATAAAATGAAACAATGAAGGGCGAATAACCTTAGGTCAATTGAGCATGCATGTAGTCTAGGGGTATGGCATGCACAAATTGACTTACCTTGATGTAAGGGTGAAACACAGGAGGTGAATGTGAAGACAAAACCAGCCTTGTAAATACAAGTGCTTCAATCTTCAAATTTGAAGTAGAAGATTTTTCCTGTAGAAGATTTCAAGAAAAATTAGAACGATGGAACATGAAGCAATATCTGCTATCCAATAAATTCATAATATGTGGCAGACCATGTAAGAGTTTACTAACATTCAATGCCTTCTCTATTCCTGGAATGAGTGAACCAATATGATCTGCAAGGCAGTCTGGCAAGACAACCACAAGTTCTTTCAACATAGAAAATGCACCAACCTGTAGATAGAATGCCATGTTATGCAAGATAACAAATCATGTCAAAGTTAAAATATATTAATTAATATACAAGCAATATTACCTTTGTCTTGATAGATTTCTCACGTAGCTGCCGGTTTATGGATTTGACAATCTTTGGGACTTCTTGCTTCAGTAACCATCTTGGACTGCACAACAATCAAATAGTAGAGCAAGTTATAAAACAGGCCTCCAAAAATTACCGTTCAGCAACAATGAAGTGACAATTTTTACAGCTTAATAGTAAGTATATCTTATTCCAAGGACTTCAAGCACTCGATCAAACCAAAAATAATTAGAAAAATCTTGAGATTACAACAACTAGATGACATTAGCAGTAGCTAATCATTCTCAAGAAAGAAAAGAAAAATATTCAAGAATAGAAGTGAAAAACATTAAAAGAGTAAAACTCCTACGAAACTTGCTCTAGAAAGATATCAGAACCTTGCCTTGATTCATTCATGTCAATCTGGCCTTTCGTCACATTTCCAGTTTGACGTAGAAGCTCAATGAATGTATTAAAAACATCCATCTGCAGCAAATTGGCACAAACCATCACACAAAAGTGATGATATAGATATCAATAAACAATTTATCCAAGCTTACCTTGACATTTTCTTCCCTTTCTTTAAACCTATCAATCAATTTTGGGCAGGCCTGCGCAAAAAAGAGACATCAATAATCAATAATCATCATGCACTAATAAATATATGAAGTTTAAATAAAAAGTATGCCATTTTTGTTAATATACATTGCACACTAAATTTATGAAGATAGAATCATAGGCCCAAGTGTGAAAAACCACATCATCCTTTCTTGATTGGAGAAGAAATTAGTGCTTAGCTATTACAGAGGTTTCAAACCCAACACCACATTAAATTTTAATAATCAGAACGGTAGGAAGGGCAGCACATTGCATGACATATGCTTTCAACTTTAAATGCACTGCAAGCAAGTGTTCTATTAGTTTCCAACATGAAAAGTTATACAAGTTCTCATGAAGATACCTCTTCATATAGCTTAGCGAGCATCTCAGGACGAGAAACAATTACTGCAGCTAAGCACTTAGCTGCTGCTCTCCGGACTTTCCAGCTGACATCTTCATCATCTGTGTACTCATTAACACTCTCACTACAAAACAGTGAAGAGCTAGAGATAAGCAACTATTCTATCATAACAAGGTAAGCCTATCACTACCAAGATGGATAAAACACGACATACTCATCTTCGTCCTCCTCATGATTCTCATCATCAGTATCTTCCTCCATATTATCGGTAAAGTTTGGATCATAACTTAGATACTCCAATGTAAGATGAAGAATTTCACCACAATAGGAAGAAATGTCCCTAGGGCACCTGAGAAGGAAACTCTCTAGTGCCTGCAATCATGTAGACATGAATTAATACATCTAGCCACCAAACATGGTAGCCGACAATCATGCAATCTAAAGTATTAGAGGCAGAACCCATTTCCTAAGGAATATCAATACAGCACCTGCAAGCTATATTCACGAAGCTCCTCATCATTCTCTGATGCGCTCACGCAATAATTAATCAGCACCGGTATGGTGTCCCCAAGATGGGGTCCAAAACGATACCCAACAGCACGACTAGAATATCAAGGCATAAAAATTTTGGTTAGAAGCATCAGCAGAAGATGAAGAGGAAACCACTAGATGCAAAGAATAACAAGTTTCCCAAAGTTTTTTAAGGTCACTAATGCATTAGCATAAGATCAATCAAAAGATTGAGATAGATACCTTAGTGCACCGATCATTTGAATGTTTGTGCGAATCAATTCAGATTTTGTACCCTTACTTGTCAAGTTCTTGACAACTTCAACTGTTGCCCTAGCCAACAAATCATCCGACAAGCTAGAAGAAAGAGATGCTGAGAGGCAAAAAGAGAAGTTAAGAGAATGTTTTGTGATCCCCAAAGATATAGCATGAATTAATGTGCTCAGAAGAATAATAACAATAATAATAATAATAATAATAATAATAATAATAATAATAAAGAGAAAAGCACTATTAATAAATAAAGTGAAAAACCCTCAAGATGCCTTAAATATCATATGAATAATAATACCAAAAATAACAGATATCATATGAATTACTTGATCATACCAATGCAAGAAACAGTCTTTTTTCTGACACTGGCTTGATTTGAATTCAGTTGGGAGAGTAAGGCACTCAGAAGCAGCTCGTGCTCACTTGCCATAAGATTTCCAAATTTGTGAAGGACATCACATAAAATATCAAGACATTCACATTTAATCTCTGGACCCATACCCTGCAACAAAGTAACTAACACATAAGCATAGAAAAGCAGAAAAGATGGAGCTAGATGAAACAATTAAAAGAAGGTTTTATTTCTCTGTCAAAAATATTCAAAAGAATATGGCTTAGTGATGTAAATAACAGTATTACTTGCATCATCCTGCAAGCAAGAAGATTATTATTATGAAATTGAATGAAGATTCAGTAATTTTGTTATTTCTTTAGGGGGAAAAAATGAACTTTGGCTCCAAAGCTCACAGTTTGACACCAAAAATTCACTAATTGAGAAAAGAAAAGAGCAATTTAGAGTGGGGCAATGAAATTTAGATTGATTTAAGAGGCAGTGTTTTGAAACTTACCGGGGCAGTTATCCCATTTATTAATTGTGGAGATAAAGAAAGTAAGATAGAGTGAGCAAGAGACGGAGTAGGGAGTTCAGAAATGATTGTTTTCAAAGCAATGCTTGCAATATCACGATGCTGATCTTTGCCATGAAGCAGTTTATTACATAGTTTATTAGTCATCTCGACAACCCTTGGTTCACTGATCTTCCTGACCAGAGGTGCAAGACTGAAAATTGGCAAAAGACAAGAATTCATCAATGGGCATGGCAACGTTGGGGAGTAAAAAAAAAAAACTAAAGAAGTAGTAATACAATAAAGGAAGGAAGATGGGTATTTAGTATACCATTTGACAGCTAGGGCAGAAACATCACCAGCAACATCGTCAAGCTGGTGCAGGACAATGTTAGAGAGCTTGATATCGAGATCAGCATCGGGCTTAAAGGAGTCCTTGTTTAGCTCATTTAACAAGTCGGATGTGGCCATATACCTGTAATCTTTATCCTTACCCGTCATCTGCAAGCAAAACAAAAAAAAAAAGTCAGAAAATTGAATTGCTTGTTGTGGCCTATCAACTAAGAGATAGAAAGAGAAAGAGAGTACCTTCTCCAGAATTGTATTGATGTGTAAATTGGCCATGGTGGGCGGGGCAAGTACCAACGATCGCAATGAAAGTAAAAGCAACCAAAACCTAATTCCTAAAACACAAACAAAAAAGAAAAAGAAACAAACAATACAAACAAACAAACAAACATGAGAATTGAAGGAAGTTAAAATAATAGATTAGGACTCAAGTGATGGAATTTAGAAAAGCAGTGGAAACCCTAGCGAAAAGCAGATGACATTGAGCAGAGGGATGGATGGTACCGTACCGAGCGTGAATCGGAATCGGAACCGGAGTCGGAGTGGGAGAGCACAGCAGCGCAACAGAGAGTGCGTATTTATATTGTAAATTACAAAAAGCGACTTAAATAAAATAAAATAAAATACAGTAACACCTCTCTAGTCCTCCTCCATACTCCCCTACTCTCTTCTCTTGCTTGCTTTCCTTGTGGTTGTGGAAGTGTTTGCTTTGCTTGCGTAATATCTTTTTCTTTCTTCCTTCTTCTTTTTCTTCTACCAAGTTCTAACTTTGAGATCGAAATTAGTGTTTTCCAGTTGAATTTGTATTAAAAAAAAATAAAAATAAAAAATACAATTATAATATTTTAATAAAACATAATAAACTTAATATTTTAATAAAACATAATAAACTAACCATTTAAATAATTCACTAATACTTTTTTATTTGAAATACAACTTTTTAATTTAAATCACATAAATAAATCACATAATATATAAAGTAAAGAATGAAAAAGAGTTACTTTTTATTGTATAACTAAAATAAAAAAAAATAGAACATAAAGAAAAAAGATTAAAACAATATTATAAGAAAAAAGTGTATATCGATTTTAAATTCTAAAAATAGTTAGACTCGTAATCTTAAAATACATGTTTTATTTAATTAAAACTTAATTCAAATTTTAAAAAATTATCTTATTATATGTTAATATATTAAAATATATAATAGATTTTTAAATTTAGATGTCAACATTTAATAGGATAAGATTTCAGTTTTCAAAAATAAATTAGAACTCTAATTATTTTGTGGAGTCAAAATTGAAATACCCTAACCTCATATCATAATTATTTTAAAAAATAGATTAGTTTATTTTTTTAATAGAAATTTATTAAAACAAATTTTAAAATATTTTTTAATTTAATTTTTAATAGGTTCAATTGATAAATAATTTTTTAACATATTATATGAAAAAAAGAAGAAGAAGAAGAAGAAAGACTCTCTAACATCTAAAATATTGAAATTATCTATAATTCAAATATCCTTTAATAAATCTTTGTGGCATGTCTATTTATTAATGCTAGAGTGGTGATATAGGGACAATTTTTATATTATATTTTTAAATAATTTTTACATGTCATTAAATAATTAAATACATTTAATATTATCGGCTTCAAATAAATAAAAAAATCAATTATTTAAATAATAAATAAGATTGTATAAAAAAAATAATACAAAAAGGTGATAAAAAAAATTATCCCTATATTATTTTCCTTAATACTATTACTATTTAAGTCTTTTATAATTATCATTCTTAAATAGCACATCAATTGCGCACTTATTTTTCACAATCGTTTATACTAAGCTATTTTTGGATGAGTTCTGCATTTTGTTGACTAATCCTATGTTTAGGTTAAGGGAAATGGGAAGGGAAGGAAAAAAAACTTTTAATTAATTAAATTATAATAATTTTAAAATATTATAGTAAAAAAATCCTTCCTCTCATCTCCCCTCCATTCCATTGCAAAATGCCCTTTGATTTTGGAGCAAACTGGGAGTATTTATTCAGGGAATGTGTTGCTCCCATTGTTTTCTCAATCCAAACCGTACAAAAAAAAGGGTAAAGTCCAGATTATGCTAATACTAGCCCTTAATGAATAAGAGTCATTTAAGGGTATTTAAAAGTTGTACTGAAAGAGACATTTCTGATTTATTAAAGTGAAGCTTACATATTTCAAGCTATTTCTGTCGGTTTAAACTTTAGCAAGAAAAGGTAAACATCATTTTATTTTTATTTTTATGGATTTATTTAATTTGTATCCTAAAATATATTAAATATATTATTTTATAATAAACTTTTATAAAAAAAATTTTAAATAAGACATTATTTTTAACAACAAACCACTTCGACCTTTATTTTTTCTATATAAATTAATTATAAAGAAATACAATTAATGCTTTCTTAACCTATGCTCTTATGACACAAATTAGAATATCCCTATTTATATTAGTATTTATTAAGTGGTTGAGCTAAATTAATTTTTATTGAAATGCAAAATAAAAAAAAATAAAAAAATACCATTCACTTCACAATATCTACAAACAGTCACTATAATATACATAAACTCCTAACAATCATCTTCACAGGTCTTTCATTCTCTACCTTCCCTTGCTCTCTTTTCTCCTGCTCCTGCATCTCCACATTCTTTTGCATCATCAACATTCCACTGCAAGAACAGAAACCACAAGCTTCAGTTTAGGGAGGATGAGGAGGACCATCAGTTTTCATACCAACCTTTGACATTGTCTCCTCAAGATATCCTGCCAATGCTCCCTCCTCGTACACAATTTTTGCACCACATCCTTTTTCATCCACTCTCCCAACAGCTTCTTCATCAACCAAAACTGCAGCACCTGCTTCCCTCTTGGTGCCTGGAATCTGCCCAAAAAACATGTTCACTTTACAGAATGACAGATAAAAACCTAATTCCTTCATGCTCTCACAATTATTATGTTCAGATCGGACCCATCGTACCTCAAACATTGCTTCTGTGAGAATATTTTCTAGTATGGCTCTCAGGCCTCGAGCACCAGTATTCTTGGCCATTGCCTTCTTTGCAATCAATCTTAATGCATCTTCAGTAAAATGTAATCTGACCTGAAACAAAATGCATATAATAAGTTATTTCACACTGGCTATGTCAGATATATCATATATCATATGCTGCAGAACCCCCACCTACCCCAACCAAAAAGAATTGAAGGAAAAAGCAACAAAGCAAACAGAACAACAGTATAAGAAACTTACGCCATTCATGCTGAACATCTTTTTATACTGCTTTCCAAGGGCGTTTTTTGGTTTCATAAGGACCTATCTCATGAAAAAAAATTAAACTACTCTGTCAACTTTCTTACAGTTATGCTGTGTAGTATATAGATAAAAGTAGCTCAAGCATTTCAAACTAAGGGCCTAAGGCCATGTCATTCAATAACTAACACACATAATAATATAAGCAGAATTGAAAACCAAGATTTTCAAACAGCAACTTGAAACAACATCAAGTTAAATTTACAAACCACTATTTAACATCATAGGTCAAGACCTAGCATGAACAATGACCATGTTAGGTATCATCATGTAGGATGTAACCAACATGTTATAATTTAGCCACCAATCAGAAAGATAGACCACACCTGAATGAGTTGGTCCTCACTTAAAGCTGATAAACTCACTAAAATGGGGAACCTTCCAACAAATTCAGGAATCAGGCCATATGCAATAAGATCACCACTTTCTACCTGGAGGTTGACAAGATATCATGAGGTTAGCTATCTAAAGTAATAAACGAAATACCCCTTCATAAGAAAAACCGTAAAAGAAATAATCCATCAGGAGCAGAAGAGAAATTCACTACAAGATGAAAAGAAAATAATATGTTGATGGAAATTTCTTTGCCCATATTGAGTCTTGGTTCTCACAGATTCCAACAATGATGAAGTGACTACAGAACTAGTCAATCCACCACTCCTCATATTTGTGCGTACTGGTGCTCCAAACCCAATAGAGGCATCTTGCCTTCTGAGAAAAGAAGTAATTGAACATGTTAACCTTCAACGATAGCAAAGTGCATAATTTCAAAGAGAATGTTGAATCTTGATTACCATAAAACTTTACATGACAGTCTTACCTTTCTGAGATGGTCTTCTCCAAATCAACAAATGCCCCACCACATATGAAAAGTATATTTTTTGTGTCTATCTGTTATCATCCTAATAAAGTTACTAAATCCACTAGAAAAGTAACATCACTGATGGCAAGCACAATAAGAAGTGGATATATACACATGCATTATTAAATGAAGCACTCCATGAAACTAATGGTGATTGGCAGGCCTATCAAGCTGGTTTCACAGTACTGAATATCAAAAAACCAGTATACTGTATACCTGAAAGCTGTCACCACGTGGATGCCTTCGAACACCTTTCTCAGGAACAGGAATGTTTACCATCTGAGAAGAAAACACAAATCACCTCAGATGGCCAAAGGCAAGGTGATTTTCGTTTCAGACAATTATAACCAGCATTCCTTGATCATTTTTTGCAAAATCAAAATTTTGGGAAGGCAACTAATGAAAGAGTCAAAGCAATCACGTCTGTTGCAATACTTAACTTCAGAAATAAAAGACACTTCGCTTGATGCTTAATAGCATGCACGCAAAGTGGATTAAGCCTCAAGATAAACCAAAAAAAAGGCTCTTGTAGGATTTTAATGCTAACATGGCACTTGAATGATAGGATGGATCATAGGCCTATTGAGTTAGTCTAAGCAACATAATAAATATACATTATATGAAACACAAACACAGAAATGGTTATCCACTTGAAAAGAAAGAGAATAGAAATGTATGGTGAAGAGACTTAAAATTTCATAAAAGGCTGAAAATATCAAAGAAAAGCTCATGCATAGAAAATAAACAATTTCTCAGTTTCCCCTGCAATTTTCTTGATCTGTCAAATAACAACATCAAAGAAAGGAAACAGTTAAAAGACTGCAGATAGAATGTCTTTACAACCAATTGCACAAAAGCTTTAGCCAACAAGACTATAGATAACTAATTGACTCACAGTTCCTTCCAGCATTTTCAGCAAAGCCTGTTGAACACCCTCCCCAGATACATCCCTCCCAATGTTTAAACTCTCGGCCTGAACAGCAATCAGTGTCAAGTATCAAAAACTGGATACTTGGCTGCAATAACAACTTAATTCACATATAAATGAATTGTGACACCTTCTTAGTTATCTTATCAACTTCATCAATGTAGATAATCCCATGCTGAGCCGCTTCTACTTTGAACTCAGCTTCCTGTACACCAAGAGTTAAAGAAAGCAGCTGCCAATATGTTATGCTGAGATGCTTCGGTATTGAACTCTAAGTTGCTATGGCTCTATAAACATACCATATAAACAAGTGAAACAACATAAACTTGGGCCATACCAGGAGCAGCTTGTACAATATAGATTCTACATCTTCTCCAACATAACCTGCCTGAAGTGAGGGACTTATCAGTAGAAATTCAATAAAGCAACAAAAATCTGTATGCTTTCCTAAACAAGAAATAAACTTGCCTGTGTTAATGTTGTTGCATCAGCAATGACAAACGGCACGTTAACAATGCAAGCAAGTGTTTTTGCAAGCAATGTCTTCCCTATCCTTGTGATGAAGTTAAAACAAAAACGACAACAATACAAATTAAGAGAGCTGATATTTAAGATGCAGATGTCCATGAAACTCAATCAGCAAGAAATCATGGTGATACCTGATCCAGTTGGACCCATCAAAAGTACATTGCTCTTATCCAATTCAACAGAATCATTTTCTTCGTCATCATCATCATCATCACCAAAGACATGTGCCCTATTATTCAAACAAAAAAATTTCAATCTAAAATAGTTTTTCACTAGAGTCACCAAATTATAATATGATCTGCTCATGAGCATTATGCAGAATGGTATCAAAGACACCAAATTGATTAAAATTGAACAACATGAAAAGACTAACTCACTCTTTCTGCTGAGAGGCATGAAATATCCTTTTGTAGTGGTTGTAAACTGCCACCGAAAGCACCTGCTACTGCTAACTAATGTAAGTAGATGCTCTAAAAAATTTATGGATGATCTTTGCTCCTTTGAACTTAAGAAACCCCTGGCATCTGCACGTACCTTCTTGGCCTTATCCTGGCCGATGACAAACTCGTCGAGTCTCCTACAAATCTCCTTCGGGGTAGGTAATTCCCTGTCCAGGCTCCCTGCTGCGTCATCCTCGTCATCGTCATCCTTCAATTTCCCAATTTTTCCACGCTCCTTACCCCCCTCGATATCTCCTTTTACTCGGCCCAACTCAATGAAGCTACCCTGCAAGGGCTCCAGCTTAAAAGGGCGGAAATAGAAGGCGGTTTTGCAGTTGGGACAGAGGTTGAGGGCCTGGTACAGCCCAGGCTCTCGTGCCGTGATGGAGAGGGGACGGTTGGAGAAGAGGACGGGCATCTGACAAGAACACCGGGGGCAGTTGACGTCCGCCCTGATGTGGTCGTACTCGGTACCGTCCCATTTTTGGCGCAGTAAGGATGTGAGCCCGAGTGGGGCGGGAAGGATGGCTTTGTGTTTGTGGTGGCGAAGGTAAGTGATTACTGCTCGCCTGGTGTGGTTGAGGAGCGAAAACATGGTGGTGGCCGTGAGGAAGCGTACTATGAAGGAAGGCGATGGAGGTTATTACTGAGTGGTCCAGCGCTGCTGCTGCAGCTGGTGGTCGTGGTGGTGGGGGTGGCGGTTGAAACGGAAGCACAAGCAAGGTCCAGACCAAAAAGTTAGGGTCCTTCGGGACCAACAGCCCAGCCCAAAAAAAAACAGCCCACGGCCGGAAAACAGTAACAGCCCAAACCAAAACTGCAAAAACACAAAAAGCAAGTAGTAATGTATTATCTTCAAGACTCCGGTCAACTATAAAAATTACAGTAGTTAACGGATAAC